CTCCTGGGTTCAGGCAATTCTCCTGCCTCAGCCTCCTGAGTAGCTGGGATTACAGGCACGCGCCACCATGCCCAGCTAATTTTTTGTATTTTTAGTAGAGACGGGGTTTCACCGCGTTGACCAGGATGGTCTCGATCTCTTGACCTCGTGATCCACCCGCCTCGGCCTCCCAAAGTGCTGGGATTACAGGCTTGAGCCACTGCGCCCGGCAATCTTGTTCAATTCTTTTAATTTTTTTTTTTTTTAGTTTTTAGAGATGGGGTCTCACTGTGCTGCCCAGGCTGGTCTCAAACTCCTGGCCTCAAGTGATCCTCCCACCTTGGCCTCCCAAAGTGTTGGGATTACAGGCGTCAGCCACCACACCTGGCCAACAACCTTAAAATTTTGATTGTAAATTGGTGCCTTGACCTGGTGAGAACGTGAAACCCACGCGCTGCGCATTTCTCTGTGGACTGCATCTGAACACTTGTCGCATTGCTGACTGGGTCTGACAGTCATCGCCAGGACTGCCGGGGCCCGTGTTCATGCCCAGTCACTCAGTCCTGGGACAGAGACGCCCCAGCCTCGTGCCCTGTGCCAAGCCTGATGTCTGCCTGAGGATGCAGACACATCTGCACCCGCCGTCACCATGCAAGGCCGGGCACACTTCTCAGCGCCTATGTGTGGGAACTCTCGCAATCCCACCCCCTGGGCGTGGCACTACTGTTATCCCCAGTGTGCAGATGAGGAATCAGAGGCCAGAAAAGAGGGTGACTTCAGTCACACAGCAAGCATGTGGCAGAGCTGGAGTCCAGGCTGTCATTCTGAGCGTGCCCTGGCAGGGCCATTGTGCCTTGTTGCCTCTCTGCAGAAGGTGGGCCTCGTCCCCTACGTCAAGCCCCCAGCATGGCCAGTGCTCTTTCCACCCCACCCCAGGCCGCCTGGCTCTGCCCGTGAGGGCTGTGTGTGAGCGCTCACTCTGGCACCACTGATTCTCTTGTCTGCCCTGCCCCCTGCCAGGAAGCTGATCAGTATCTCCTTTGGGGACCTGAACCCCTTCCCCCTTATGCCAGATCCAGAATTGATGCGCTACCACTTGGAGAAGGTCCGGCTGGAGCTGACCGGGCTGGAGGCCATCCGCGAGGACTTTCTGCACAGGCGGGACACCAGCGCTGACAAGTTAGCGACCAGGAGGAGGATACCTGAATGGGTCCCAGAACGCTGCTCTTCTTGCCTTCACAACCAAAGTGTGCCCATAGGGTGAAAACACACGTAAAAGCCAGAATGTAATGTGTGTGGCCTCTGGGAATCCGCTGGGCAGATGTCCAAAGCCAGACTGCACTTCCTCACCTCCCACTGCGCGGGGCAGGGCTGGGAGGTCAGATCTGTTTACAGCCATCCCCACGCCACGGCTTCTGGTTACAGGTATCCTAGTCATGTTTCTGCCTGATTATTGGTGGATCGTCAGACCAGCGGCTATTTGCAAGAGCCTGTTTCGAGCGTCCGTCAGCCTGTCTGTGCTCTGACCGACCCCCTGAAACCTCGCTTTGCTGGGCATCTCCCCCATTCTCTCTCCTGTATCCAGCGGGCAGTCGTGTGCGGTTTTGCATGGCAGTGCCATGCAGGATGCCCGCTGTACTTTGGGCACCTGTAGGCCAGAGGGTTTCAGGCATAAGGTCAGTATGAAAAAGATGTGCCTTAGAAAAGCAGGCACATCCCGGCTGGGCGTGGTGGCTCACATCTGTAATCCAAGCCCTTTGGAGGCCAAGGTGGGTGGATCACCTGAGCTTGGGAGTTCAAGACCAGCCTGTCCAACATGGTGTAACCCAGTCTTACAAAAACAAACAAACAAACAAACAAACAAAAAACAGAAAAGAAAAGCAGGCACATCCCTTGTTGAGAAATGGCTACTGTAGAAAGCCCGTGAACCTTCTACCAGCGGCTTTAAGCTGCCAGCCACGCCCCATTTCTAGAATAGCCTTTGCTCTTCCACACGCAACCCTTCCAACAGTGGCTCCCAGCCTGCATGGAGAGGGCCTGGCGGCCCACACACCCACCTCACTTCTCACTGCCAGCCTGGGTTTGCAGATAGCTGGGCTGCTCTGTCCCCAGCTTGCCCCGTGCCTGGCATGGCTCTGTGCGATTCTGTGGAATGCCCTCTTGACTTGTGGAAATCATTCACCAAGTACGATGGGGTGAGATTCCACATAAGTGGTGGACTGTCATATTGCAAAGCAGGCCCACCCCTGGGCTGGCCTTGGTTGAGGGGAAGGAGGAATCTTTTGGAGGGTGCTTTGCAGGGAATGCTCTTGGACAGCTGAAAACCTTGGCCTCCTTGGGGATGGCCAGTGCTCCTGGTGTCTGCTCCACCTGACTGGGTTGTGCAGGAGACCGGCTGCCAGTGCGGGGACTGGGAAACTCCTGTGCTTGGGGCGCAGGCTTGAGCAGCTCTCCCAGATGTGTGTCCTCCCACCACTGCCTAGACGCATCTTTGTTCTCTGTAAGGATGCAGGGTCACTGTTGCCTCTGGCAGTTTCTGGGAGCTCGGAGGACTGCCTTTCTGAAGGCCGGAGAGAGGCTTTGAGCAAGGAGCTTATTTTCACTGAATCCCACTAGACCATCCCTGGTGTGCAGATGTGAGAGGAAGTTTCCTGGCATGGTATTGTTAAAATACGGGAGAAACAGTCTCAGTGGAATGTTTCACATTACCCAAAAAAACCTGGAAATCATCCTTGGTTGAAATGAGCACACTGAGACTAAGAATTGAAGTAGTGCAGTTTGAAGACGCACTTTTTTCCTGTTATTTTCCGCTGTCAACTTTCTAGCTGCGGCACAGCGGAGTTGGCATTTCAGAACACTAAACTGAGCCTCGGCTCCATGTCTTCCGTGAATTTGGTTAATTTTTCACTGTGTGGACGGGGCTGGCCTCTATATTTAGCATCATTCAGGCATCAGAAAGGGGCTTTGTCATTGTCATTGTCTTTGAGAGCAGCAGTTTGAGGTCTGACTCCTTCAGGAATGTGTCCTGTGAGCTGGGCGTTGCAGTCTGCTCGAATCCCGCCCCCCCCAGCCCATGGTGAAATGGCAGCTGTCAGCCTAGGGGGCAGCTGCTGAGGAGGTGCAGCAGGAATGGGGCTGGGCCTGTGAGCCGGCTCCAGCTGCCCTCAGGTTTTATTTTCCAAGCCGATGGCGCCCAGAACATGCCAGCGCACGCTGCCGTGTCCAGGGGCTAAGCCGCTGCCTTTAGGGACAGGTGGTGTCCAGTTTGCCCTGAGAGGTGCACCTGACCGGAGCCTTCGTGGCTGCAGCCCGCAGTGAATGTGAGTGTTTCCAGACAGTTGCCAGCAGCTGCCGGGCAGTGTGTGTGAGAGCAGGAGACGTCCTGGAGGAAAGGGACTGGGGATGTTTTCTCGGAGTTTCTCCTCCCTGGAATCAAGTGTCACGTGTCCAGAAGGTGAGAGAGGGTGGCCCGCCTGGTTCCAGTTTGGGAACAGGATGGAGCCAACTCCTCTTTCCAGAACTGTGGGCCCCATTCTTTCGAGCTAACACGTCCCCTCCCTCATGTCACTGAGGAAAGGGCTGCTGTCACCTCCAATGCCCCGAAGGTCCCTGGCCTCCACTGGCTACCATGGCAGGGGTCCCTTCTGGCAGGGGCTTCCCCACGTGGCTGTATCTTCTCTGAACCTTCACCCCAACACCCAGCCTGTGGCACCTGCAAGGGGGACCTTGCCAGCTGTGAAACCCAAAGGGTGGCCTCCATCGCCTGCCAGGACCCAGGCGAGCTTCCTCCCCGCACCTGCTGAAATTTGCCAATTTTTAAATGGATGGGGTTCCTTTATGGGTTGAACCTCTCTGCTAATACTTTTGTATATTTTCCCTGCAGTTTATATATTTTTAGGCTATTTTCTCAAGGTGTTTCCAGATTCCACGCATCTATTTCATATAGTAAGCTCTTATGTTGTGTATGTGACTCCCTGGGGTGTATCTGCTCCAGTCTGAGCCTCTGAGTTGCTCTTCCCTCCGGGGCCCTGACTCTCACTGACTCACCGATGTGATGTGTGGGCCACTTCTCACCCAGGTAGCCTCAGGCGCTCCCTGTCACTGAGCTGACAGCTGTAGGGTAGCAGCCAAGACTGCTGCTGGCTGGAGGCGGTTCTGGCTTCAACTGTAATGTGTTGATGTAGCGAGAGCACTAGACAGATAGATCCTCGGTTGGGTTTTCTGACCACGTGCTTGTGTCGCACAGATCCCCTCCGCCATCCTGTAGTCTTATCTTCCTGTGTGTTCCCAGGCTTCTGGGCAGCTGGGCCTGCCCGGGGAGATGCTTGCAGGTGGGAGGCCGTACAGAGACCCAGTGTGTGCCCAAGCGTCCACGGCTGCTGGGCAACTGCAGGACGCCAGGGGGCGCCCAGTGACTCTGTCCTTTTATATCACAGCAGCGCCTGTGCTGACCTTCAAGTTACACTTTGGAATTGTAATAATAAAGGAAGAAAGAAACTAATTTGTATAATATTCCACCTTGAGATTCAGTTATAATCACTTGTAATGGGGCTCACCCCAAGGGCTTGGAGGGTGGGGGAGGGCTTATTGGAGTTGGGGGACAAGGAGGGGCTCTCTGACCTTCCAGCCTGGTGCTTCTGGGTGTCCCTGCCCTGGGGTGGGTGTATCAGGATGGCTTTGCCAGCAGGGGCAGCCTTGGGAAACCCCAAGAACAATGGCCAAGCTGCAGGTGTGGGCTGGGGGCACCGAGGTGGGAAAGCCGGGAGCTGGAGATTCCCTGTGTCCGGATAACCACCCCCGTCCAGCCACAAAGAACAGGCATCCCTCCTTCCGCCAGCTGTGCCATGCCCTGCCTGAGTCATAGGCTTGTTTGTCTCCTGCCCGGACTGACAGCTCAGACCCAGCTGCCACTGGGGACACCTCCAGCCATCAGTGGAAAACACCCAAGAATGATTAATACCAAATGTCTTCCCATGGTGGGTATGCGGGGTGGTTCCAACAAGGATTCCCAGACAGAGCAGGCCAGGGTCTGGCAGCCTTTTCTCTTCTGGAGACACAGATTCAGCGAGGCTATGGGTTCCTGGAGTCACACAGCGTGGCAGTGGTGGCAGAGCTGGGCCAGGGACTGGCTCGGTGGGTGGGTGAGGAGCAAGTCAACAGCCCTGCTCCCCACCCCTTGGAAGGGGTTGCCACCAGGGGCAGTTTTGACTAAGACCTGGGAAGCCATGACTCAGAGCGTGGGTCCCCAGGGTCTCTTTGGGCCAGCCAGGCTGCTGCAGACACAGACAGGAAGCACGCCTGATGCTCCTCCACCCACGGGCTGCGCAGCGGGGCTGGGACTCACGCTAGCTTGCCGAATGACGTGCTTTCCTGTGTGACTTCTGGCAGGCTGCCCTCTCTGTGCAAAGCCACCACTGGGACCCGGTCAGAGCCCACTCCTTCTTCCACCCGCTCAGGGTGGCCTAGAGATTGGAGGTGAGCAGTTGGGGCCTAGGATGGCCTGTGTCACCAGGGCATGTGGCCTTGGGCCAGTTACTTCCTCTCAGAGCCTCGGGCCCCTCCTCTGAGGATGGGGCTGTTGGTGTCAGACGAGGTGAGCACGTGCAGTGGGGAGCAGCAGGGCACACACGCGCAGGCAGCCGCCCTGGCCACGCTCCCTCCATCGCTTCCAAGTCCTGGGACACACGCTCATCACCAAGGGGTTCAGCCTCTGATACTGAACTGTTTCTTGGTCTCAGTCCCTATGGAGTGATTTTCAATGGCGTCTCTTCTGTCCCCAGCATACATCCAGCCAAGCAGCCGTGGCTGCCACATGCAGGCTCCAGGGTCCCACTCACCTTTTGTCCGGGGATGCCATAGGCGGGAGAGTAGAATGTGAGCGGCGGCCCGGGTAGGCTGCCGGGCGACCTCTCTGAACCTTTGCGCCCCCACCTGGGAAGGGGCATTACACCTTCCAGGGGGAGGGCTAAGGAGGAAATTGTCAACGGCTGAGTCCAAGGCTCACAGCCAGAGGGCAGGTGGGATCCAGGGCTGGGCCTGGGCCTGGGAGGACTGTGCCCCCTCCCCAGCCTACCCACCCCCGGCCAGGCCAGGACCCTCTTCAAAGCACCTTCATGCCCATCTGTTCCCTGCTGGTGGCACCACATTCTCCATGGGACTAGATTTTATGGGAGGGGAAGGGGCTGTGGGTAGGGAGGTGCCAAGTAGCTGAACCACAGATCAGCGTGGTAGGAACCTGGCGCTGGGGCTGGTGGTGGGAAAGGGACTGCCCTGAGGCAGTGGGAATTAGCCCAGCCCTGTCTCTGGGCACAGATAAAGGGACACAGAAGGGCACAGCTGGCCAGCCTGCTCTTCCCCTCTCTGCCTGGTTTTTGCAGAAGAGTCAACAGATACATCAGAGGGCCAGCGAGCTGCCCACAGGGGCCCCAGCCCCCATCACTTCAGGGGACAGTCCCTGCAAGCGACACAGTGGGCAGGTCTCTGAGGACCTGGGCCAAGCTGTACCCCTGCCCAGAAAACCTTCCTGCCCCAGAACCCAGCCTTCTGCAGACAGGTCTCCCAGGGTATCATCCCCCTGGTTCCCGAGGCCTGCTCTCACTGACTCACTTGCTGCTCTGCCCCCAGCAGATCTGCCCCAGGGGAGCAGGTGAAAAGCCGCAGCCTGCTGAGATGCTGCGCAGTGGAGATTAGGGCAGAGGGGTCGGGAGAAGTTTCTGACTTTTAAGATTCTCCAAATCCAAGAAGAAGTCACACTGTGCTTTGGAATGGTAGATGCTGATTTATGTAAAATAATAAATGTTACACAAATTGTTAGAATAAAAAAATACCTTTTCTGAGGGGGAGGAGGTCCCCAGCCTGTCGTTGGATGGGGAGAGGGGGTTAGCACCATTAGGGCGCAGGAGGCAGGAGCTCCGCCACAGCCTGTGGTGGGCACTGAGGTCCTGAGGTCTGTTGGTCGGTCTGTGCATCCTGATGCAGTCAGCGGCGGGCAGCCCGCTGATGGCCTCGGGAGGGGGCGCCATGGCTGGGCGGAGGGCATGAGCGGCAGCACTGGGTGCGGACAGTGGGCAGCTGGCAGCGGCCCAGCAGGCGCAGTGTCTCACAGAATCCGAATGACAGGCGGTCCCGCTCACAGCCTGGAGTAGGGGACGGGGGGCATCAGTGGTTTGGGGTATACAGAACCTGGCTCCCCACACCAGTCACCTTAAGGAGGCTCCAGCAGCTCCCTGCCATGCAGAGGGCTCCGGTTTCTGGAGGGGCTCCCGAACCGGAGTTGCACGTCTCCAGCTGTGGCTGTCTCTGTCCTACCTTCCCATGGCTGACCCCCAAGATTGGAGAACAGGCACTGGTGGGCTGAGGTTTCTGGAGGAAAGGTCCTGAGACCCCACCCTGACCCCCTCACATGCCCGCAGAAGAGCCTGACCAGGGCAATGCCCTGCCACCCCATCTCCATCCTTGCTCAGCCTTGGAGTCCCCTGATGGAGCCTGGCACAGAACTGCAGTCCCGGGGGCTGCTGCCAGCCTGCAGTGGCCTCTGCCCTCACTCCCAGCACCTCCCCCTGCTCCAGTGCACCTGTCCTACCAGGCCTCTGTGACCCCCTCCAGCCACGGGGGCTGCACTCAGCCTCGGCTTTGGGGTCACAGGGTCCCATCTCCCAGGCCAGCCTTCCACTTCTCAGGGAGGGCACGAAGGCTCAAAAGACTGGACCTTGCAGGCTGTCAGCGGAAACCAAGGGCTGAGGCTTGCCAGGGCTGAGGCTCGGCTGGGCCCTCCTGCCTGTGGTTATCAGAGCTATTTTGGGAAGTGGCTTTTTTCCAGCCTCCTGGCCTTGCTCCTGATGTTGCTGTCACTGCTGACAACCCCCAGCTGCCGCCCGGGCCCTGCTCATTCCAGCAGACCTCCTGGGGGAGGAGGAGCAGGACAGGAGCAGCCAGCCCTGGGCCTGGGCCATCCTCCAGGCCTCGCAGAGGGCACGAGGCAGCAGGCAGGCTCCTCCAGCCCAGCACCGGGCAGAGCTCCAAAGTGCACATCTGCAGGCTGCATCCTGCTCGCCCGGGGTGACCTCACACGAGCTGCCTCACCTCTCGGGCCTCGGTCCCCTCCTCTGTCAACCCCACCTCCGCAGCAAACGGATGCGGCCATGCTGGGTCATTGCAGTGACCACACACTCTGGAGTTTCCAGGCTTTCCAAATATCCACCACACTGTCCCACACACCAGCAAAACATCTGGGAATTCCAGGTCTCAAGGTGCAAGACACCTTCCTGCTTCCCCTCCACTGTTCACTGGCAGCCGAAAACTCACTTAAGACAGCTTCCAGTTCAGCCACCCAAGCAGCCCCGCTCCCTCCACCCACTCACACCCACCCCTGGAGACCCTACAAGCCCAGAGCCTCATGAGCCATCATCCCTGGTTCTGGGCCCCCAGGCATCTCAGTTCCTGTTCCCTGCCCCATCTGGTCCTCACCACCTGGGATGGTAACACCCACTCCCTGTAGCCAGCCTAGCCCTGACAGCAAGAGATGAGATGCCAATAGCCAGCTCAGGCAGCACACAGGAGCGCTCTGAGACGCTGGCTGAGTGCGTGCTGAGGACGGGCAGGGCACGTGGGGGCACTGCCTCTGGGCCTTGAGGTAATGGAATTTGAGGCAGGAAGGCCACCCCTGCCAGAGGCAGGGTAGCGAGGCATGGCAGGGGCCACTCTGAGCCTGAACGAGGGTTGTCCAGGAGCAGATAGAGAAGGCTACACTAGACAAGGGGAGAGGCAGACCCGGGAGACTGCAGGGGGCCCCGAATGCCAGCCCGAGTGCCCTGGCTGCCAACTCCATCCAAGGGGCAGGGGGCAGACGGCCATTAGCACAGGGGGCCACAGCTCTTCCTGCCACAGCTTCTGGGTGCCCTAGACAGCCAGGGGCGGCCCCAGGCCCTCTTCCTGACCTAGCAATGGGGATGACAGTGGCTTTGGGGAAGGGGAAAAAGCCGCCTTCCCTGAGCACCACCCTGGATGCCCACGCAGTGTGGGGCGCTTCGTGCCCAGACCTCATTTATGCAAGGATGGTGCTTGACAGCCCCATGATTCAGCACATGAAGGCCGTGACACGGAAATGGAGCCCAAGGCCACACAGCTGGCGAGGGGCGCCCAGGTGAGACTCCAGGGCCACGGTTTCCTGCACTCAGCACCGCTGGGAGCAGCTGGGGCTGCAGGAAGGAAGACAGAGTGTGTGTGTGTGTGTGTGTGTGTGTGTGTGTGTGTCTGTCTGTCTCGGTGCAGGGGGTCGGGGAAGAGAGAGAGTGTGAGAGTGTGTGTGTGTGTGT